ACCCAGGCCGGCTTCCCCTGGTCAGCCACAGGACCCAGGACCCCGGGCAGCTACGCCTGGTGGCCACAGACACCTGAGGCCCCGGATGGCTTCGCCCAGGCCCCAGCTTTGTCAGGAAGGATGTCTGGAATGACGTCTGGAAGATGTCCGGTCTATCCGGCCTAATTAACATATTACCCTTTTATTAGAGTGGATAGTAGAAGATAGTTAATAGCTATCAAGTACATACTGTGTGGCAGGCAAAAGAATAAAGGCTTTAGATGGATGAACTTATTTACTCTTGTAGACACCGAGAAGGGCTCCTGGTGGCTAACTGGGCTCAAATTTAAAAAACAGAGCCTAGCAGCAGGGCCTCTCACACAAGCCACGCTTCAGCAGTGAGAAGCCTGCACTAAGTTGCCTGCCTTCCACACTGAACTGCCTGCCTGCACTGTGATCCTGCAGTGTGAGCCAACCTTTATAAAGGAGTTTCTGGAATCATATTTCAACCAATAGACTAAGACTTTCACCATCCAATCAGAGCTGCCCAGCTATAGCTCATTAACATCTTCACCAACCAATCGGAGAAATCCATTCTGACCAATCAGGACACTGTTTTGTGAACCAATTAAACAGTGAGGATTTGGAGTCCTCATTTGCATGAGGACAGACCAAGCAGAGACCAGGAGCAGGGACTTCTCTATACATAAGTCAGTTCCTCTCTGATTCTGGTAGCACACTTTCCCTTTCCCCCCAAGACTAAAGACTGTGTTTCCCCACTGGAGCAGAAACGCCAAAGACATCTTACAGGACCAGAGAGGGGCAGACCAAGGCAGAGCAGAGTGGGCTAGAGCAGAGCTGTCAGAGAGAGGCCTCACCTAAGGGCCACCTCACAGCTGTGCTGTTCCATAGCTATGCTGTTCATAATTGAGTTGTATCATGACTGAGCTGTTTGCCTTGAATAAAGTTTCCTTCTTCACTACACTCCAAATTGGGGATTCCTGTTGGTGCTGAATTGGTGCCAAAGACCATTGGTGGACAATCTTCATAAAAACTTGAGAAGGCAGTTGCCATTATTATCTCCCACTTTAGAGATGAGAAAAGTGAAGCACAGAGAATGAAATAACTTGCCAACAGACACACAAGCTGAGACAGTGTAACTCCATTAAAGTTAGTATTATTCAAAAAGAGGTCTTATAACAGGAGTACTTTGGCCTTAGAGCTTTAAGTACTAGAGCTTCCTCTATAGCAGTGGTTCTCAACCTTCCTAATGCCACAACCCTTTAATACAGTTCCTCATGTTGTGGTGACCCCCGATTTCATTGTTACAAATTGAACATAATTAAAGCATAGTGATTAATCACAAAAACAATATGTAATTATATATGTGTTTTCCGATGGTCTTAGGCAACCCCTGTGAAAGGGTTGTTCGACCCCAAAGGGGTCGCGACCCACAGGTTGAGAACTGCTGCTCTATAGTAACAACTCAGGAAATTTAGTGTAATATATAACGATGATCTGGCTAAAAGAGCTCAGGAATATGTGTTAACGAACCCCAAAGAAAGCAGTAATAACATCCATCACTGAGTTTAGTATACTACATCTAATATATAATGAAAACACAAGACATGTTTGGAAACTCTGCCATAACCAAACAATAATGTAAAACAAAAACTAGTGGCTTGCCGAAACCGGTTTGGCTCAGTGGATAGAGCGCCGGCCTGCGGACTGAAAGGTCCCAGGTTCGATTCCGGTCAAGGGCATGTACCTGGGTTGCGGGCACATCCCCAGTAGGAAATGTGCAGGAGGCAGCTGATCGATGTTTCTCTCTCATCGATGTTTCTAACTCTCTATCTCTCTCCCTTCCTCTCTGTAAAAACTCAATAAAATATATTAAAAAAAAATTGTGGCTTATTTTCAAATCATAATGAAGTTGGAAAAAATACATATATTTTATCCAAGATCTAATGGTTTTATAAGAGATTTTTTTTTAGTCACCTGAAATGTCATAAACCAGCTTCTTTTTAATCTATACTAATCTATACTAATGAAAGGGTAATATGCTAATTAGACCGGGAGACCTTCCAGACAAAGCCATGGTGGCGGGGCTGAGGCAGAGGCAATTAGGGGCGATCAGGGCAGGAGGGGAGGGCAGTTGGGGGCGATCAGGCAGGCAGGCAGGTGAGCAGTTAGGAGCCAGCAGTTCCAGATTGCGAGAGGGCAGTTGGACATCTCCTGAGGAGTCCCAGATTGGAGAGGGTGCAGGCCAGGCTGAGGGACATACACCTCCGCCCCATGCACGAATTCCGTGCACCAGGCCACTAGTATAATATATTTTTATTGATTTCAGAGGAAGGGAGAGAGATAAAAATATCAATGATGAGAGAATCACTGATTGGCTGCCTCCTGCATGCCCCACACAGGGAAGCCCGCAACCTGGGTGTGTGCCCTGACCAGGAATCAAACCCGTGACCTCCTGGTTCATAGGTCAAAGTTGAATGACTGAGCCATGCCGGCCGGGCTAACCCAACTTCTTAAAGTTCACAAAGTTCAAAATCATTTCATTTCAAACAATACTTTACATGGCTATCCAAATTTTTCTTTAGTACTTTTCTTCAGTGCCCTCTAATGGACATAAGATAAATAAGCAAAGAAAAAATGAACCCACATATTATTCCAAACTCTTAGTGTATTCTTAAAATTTGCTGAGATTAGATATTAAGTGTTCTCAAGACACACACAAAAAAAGTAACTATGTGAGGTAATGGATGTGTTAATTTGATTGTGGCAATCATTTCACAGTGTATACATATATCAAATCATCACATTATAATCTTATCAAAAATCATGCTGTACAACCTAAATATATACATTTTTTATTTGTCAATTATGCCTCAATAGAGTTGGGGGGGGAAATTATTCCAAATTCTTCCTTCACTACAAATAAAGCTTTAAATATCTTTTCTAAATCCAGAAATCTATCTATATCAGTTATCTCATGCACTGAAATATATTCTATCTTAAGACAGTTTTACCACTGAAAATTACTGAGTTTTTTAATCAAGGGCCATAAAATTATACATTTGTTTTGATCTAATATATCAACTTTGGAAAAATATAACCTAAGAAAATATTAATATATTTTTAAAAGTAAAAATGGTCTAGACCCATGCTAGTTATAACAGCAGAAAACCTGAAACAGACTAATCTACTCTAGAAAAACATATACTAGTAAGCCAAGTTAAAACGTGTAAGCAAACTTACTGCTCATTCTAACATCTGTCAGGCTTTTAGAGATTTGACGCATTTTCACATTAATGATATGGATACACCTTATGTCTCACAACTGCACAACAATATTGTATTTTATGGATATACCATGCTTTTTTCAATCAATATCAGACAGTTGTTTGGTATATATGCTGTGAGGCATAACCTTGTGAAGATGCTGTTTTGCATTTGTGAGATTTATCTTCAAGGCAATTCATACACTGGGCCTGCTGGATCATGGGTAAATGTGCATAAATTTGGTCAAGACTGCCAGAGGCACTCCATACATGTTATATGATTCTGGACCCCCTTTGGCAGGGTGTGAGTGACTATTTCCCCAGAGCCTCACCAATTGTGTGTGCTGCCCAATTTTTGAATTTTTGTTATTTTGCTAGGTGAGAAATGTAGGTCACTGCAGTTTAAATTTGAGCACTTTTTCATATGTTTTTAAGTCCATTTGTACAGCTTTTTCTGAGACTTACCTATTCATGTTTTTGCCATTTTTCCTATTAGGTTTAGGTCTTTTTTTTAATTGAAATATTTTCCCTCACTTTATCATTTGTTTTTTGATTTTGCTCATAGTCATATAAATCTTTATAAAAAATCACTGGTAAATTCAATCTTTTATAGTTTCTGGATTTTGAATATTGAAAACCTTTCTCTAAATTAAAAAATAGAGCATCTAATTCTACTATTTATATATTTTTTCAATATTTAGATCTCTGACCCTATTAGAGTCAAATACCTGTATGTGATGTATGTATAAGTACAGAGCCAGTTTCATCTTTTCACAACTAGTATCTAGTTGCCAACATCATTTATTTTAAAAGTATATTTTCACACTAGGGAAAAGAGATGCCACCTTTATCATATACGCAATTTCTGTATATACCTGGGTCTATTCCTAGAATTTTACTCTTCCCTTGGTCTGTCTGTCTCACCAGGAGCTAGTACCAGATGTCTTGTAGTAAGATGCAATATCTGATAGATCTAGCCTTTCTCATTACTACTTTTCCCACAAGGTTTTCCTAGCTATTCTTGCATGTTTATTTTTCCACATGAATCAACCAGTCTATCTCCAGAAAAAAAAATTTATTGAAATTTTTAATGAATTGTATCATACCTATGTATGTATTAATTTAAAAGAACTGACATCTTTGCAGTACTGAGTCATCATACCCAAAAACAAGATGTCTTTCCATTTGTTCAGGGCACTGCCATATCTTTCAGAAATGTTTTTAAGTTTTCCTCACATAGATTTAGGGTATTTTTTTAAATGTATTTCTATGTAGTCATTTATTTTTTATGTGGTCTTTCCTTCCATGACAAGTTCTAACTGGTTATTGTTTGGAAATACAAAAACTTTTTACTTTTTACCTATGATATCCTGCTACCTTATTAAATCTCTTCATTTGAGTTTGTATTAATCTTATGATTGATTTTCTTGGATTTTTCCATAGTTTTACTTATTTTGTTTCTAACACATGCACTTGATACATTTTTAGTTCAGAATATTCTTATTTCCCAAAACTCACACATAAATTGAGATTTTATATTTTTATATAATTGTATATTTTATGTTATTTCAATTTTAGATCACTGGAATCTGCCCAAAATCCTACATTCTCACATGCGTTTAGTCACTGAGACAATGACAATTCACACTAACATTTCCTAGATTCTCAGGGCCTCCACCCACACTGATCTCAACAGCAGCAGACTGCGCTGCCATCATCCCTAAGCTCAACATGCTCAGTCTGCAAAACAGGAAAGCAACTTTACACAAGAGCTCCACTTGAAATCCTAACACTAATCAATCTTACCATGCAGTCATCCTGTCACCTTTAGCTACACAATGAATGAAATCCCCCCTACCATCTAGCCCAGTGATGGCGAACCTTTTGAGCTCGGCATGTCAGCATTTTGAAAAACCCTAACTTAACTCTGGTGCCGTGTCACATATAGAAATTTTTTGATATTTGCAACCATAGTAAAACAAAGACTTATATTTTTGATATTTATTTTATATATTTAAATGCCATTTAACAAAGAAAAATCAACCAAAAAAATGAGTTCGCGTGTCACCTCTGACACGCGTGTCATAGGTTCGCCATCACTGATCTAGCCTTTCCTCAGTTCTTGTCCTAAAAATCTTCTGTCTATCCTACTATGAACTCACTTTCACAGGGCCAAGAGGGAAGACTTTCACAGAGTTCATGTAAAAGTAGCAAAAAAGTATAAAACTCTCAAGACAGGAGGCAAATAAATAAAACTGTCCAATTATGAGCTCAGGTGGACTATACACCAATACAGAATGCTAGATGTTAATCCACTGGAGGATCCCAGTTCATTATTTCCCAAAATTACAGTACCTTTTCTTTCTTGACATGATTCATAATGTTGCCGAGGTCCTCAACATCAACCACAGAAGTTAGACTCTGGTGGTCCTCAGTACCAGACTCTTCCTCACTGGAACTCTCAAAGGGCTCCTCCTCCTGGAACATCAATGCTTTAGAAATATATTGCTCAAAGTAGCAAACCATCTACTATCCCCTCCCAAATTCTGAGGTCACTGGATGGATATCAAATATTTTTGGCTAGAGGTCAGCCAACTATGACCCACAGGCCAAATCCAGCCAGCCTCCAGTCAAATCTGAAGGTGCCCATCATTTACATAGTAACTATGGATACTTTCTTGATACAACAGAACTGATAGTTGCAAAAGAAACTACATGGCCCACACATACCTGTACATGAATGTCACAGCAGCATTATTCCCAATAGCCAAAAGGAAGAAATAATCAAAATGTCCATCAACAGATAAATGGATCAATAAAATGTGATATATCCATACAATGAAATATTATTCAGCCATAAAAAGTAATGATGTACTGATCCATGTATAACATGGATGAATCTCCAAAGCATTATATTAAGTAAAAGAAGCCAGACAAAAAGAAGTCACATATTATATTATCCCATTTGTATGAAATATCCAGAATAAGTAAGTCCATAGAGACAGAAAGCAAATTGGAGGTTGTCAGGGCTAGGGGGAAGGGGGGAAGAGTGCCCGCTTCATGGTTTGCTTCTGAAATAATGAAAAGGTATTGAAACTTGATATAAGTAGTGGTTGCACAAAATTGTAAATGTACTAAATACCACTGGATTATAGACTTTACAATGATAATTTTGTTATGTGAATTTTACCTCAGTACTTTAAAAAGTTTTAAAATATATTCAAAGCGAATTGTAGGGGAAAATAAGCAAAAAGACTGGCTAGAAAAAGAGAACAGAAAAATGAAACAGCAGGTGAAAGACAGAACAAAGGAAAGATTTGTTGTTTACTTCTCTTTGTTTAAACATAGGTGATTCCAGAGCATGTTTATATATTTACTAGAGGCCCGGTGCACAAAAATTCATGCACGGGGGTGGGGGAGGGGTCCCCTCAGCCCGGCCTGCCCTCTCTCATAGTCCAGGAGCCCTCAGGGGATGTCCTACTGACGACTTAGGCCCACTACCCTCTGGCCTCTCTCTGCGGGAGGCCATCGGCCGATCAGGGGAAGGCCCCCATCACCCCACTGCTGCTGCCACTGCCGGCTGCCAGCCCTCCTCAGCCCTTGTAGCCTCTGCGGCTTTGTCTGGAAGGACATCCAGAAGGATGTCTGGAAGACGTCTGGTCTATCCGGTCTAATTAGCATATTACCCTTTTTTTAAAATATATTTTTATTAATTTCAGAGAAGAAGGGAGAGGGAGATAGAAACATCAATGATGAGAATCATCGATTGGCTGCCTCCTGCACGCCCCCTACTTGGGATCAAGCCCGCAACCCAGGCATGTGCCCTTGACCGGAATCGAGCCTGGGACCCTTCAGTCTGCAGGCTGACGCTCTATCCACTGAGCCAAACCAGCTAGGGCAGCATATTACCCTTTTATTAGTATAGATGGGAACGATCTAGTAGAGAGGAAAAGATGAACAATTCAGGAGAGAGAAATGCAATGAATAAAGGAACCAAAGTCCTTGATTCCAGAGCATGCACAGAAAGTGGTCTTTGAAAAACCCAGTTACTTGTCTTCTGGGACAGAAAAGATGGTGAGGATTTGTAGATGGGGCAAGGGCTCTAAGAGAATTCTTCTCTAATGGCTCCATCTGAGAGCTGGAGGAAGGGGTAGGGAGAAAGAGGTATTAAACAGTCACCTTGGAGAGTGAGAAAGGGAACTTACAAGAGAATGCAGGAGACTGTTGGGAAGTTCTTAATTCATACTTGAATCTGTGGTCAAACAGCAAGCAGCAGGCAATGGAGAAGGCACACAGCAGGTTGCACATGGCTTGGAGTTAAGCCAATTGTGTTGTAAAATGGAGTGGAAGGCAAGGCAACTGAAGATGTTTATAAAAGAGTAAGTATAAAATCTAAATTGGGTAAGGACAGAAGTGAAACAAGCATTCTTCACTATCCAGTGAAAAAAGTATAGGATCAAAAGAATTTTAAAGTAGGAGCACCGGAAAGAGGTTAGAGTTTGGGTCACAAGAACATGTAATTTCAGAGGTGACCACGGGAGTGAGAGGCCACAGTCAGTGAGAGGCCACGAACAGGCCAGGTTGTTAGAGAAATCATCAACATGCATGACTAGCCACTAAGAATAATGATAGGAACAGTGTGGAGAGTAAGACAATGAGTGTCAGAATGTGAAGTTGTTACTGAATGACACAAGTGACAGGTGGCCAAAGCACAACAGCTATGAGGCAGCCTAAAGACATGGCCTTCAGTGAACTCGGGGGTATCTGAAGAAAGAGAAATGTTTAGAATGTAAGGGATGAAAGAGATGAATCTAGGATGACTTACAGCCTTTAAGTTAGAATGACTAATAGTCATTATATAAGAGCAGTCAGGAGGAATACATGTTTGATGATAAAAAAGATAAGAGCTCAGGCCGGGACATATTTAATTTCTCGGGGCCTGTTTCCTAGCCTGCAAATTGTGGTAGAAATCTATTTGACTCCAGCAATGCAACCATTACAGAAGAGATACCAGAAAGCATCCAGCACAACACTCTGTAAGACCACACTCTCTAAAACACCCCCACACGGTTTCAGGTCTTCCTTCCAACCAGTAGCCAAATAAATAGTTTCTCAGGGCAGAGGTGAGGTTTAGCATCTCCAGAAACAGGAGGAAAGCAGAGAGACATGGACACACAGGCTACACACCTCAGGGTCCCTCTGATGCAATCCATCCTGAGTATGAGATCCTAGCTCCATTTCCTCTGAGCTACGCTGATTAGATTCACATTTGCCTTTCTTGCAACTGCCATCACAGGATTTCTTCTCTCCTTTACAAAGCACCTGGAGCTGGGAGATGAACTTGGTCTTCCAAGCTCTGAAGTCGGCTTCAATGCTGCCATGTTTGCTTTTAACGACATTGCAGTCACCCTCCCCTCGAGTCATCACGCGATGAGCACCGAGCATCCAGAGCCACTTATCAACATTCTTGCCAACCTGCAAGAAAAATGGATGAGCTAAAAACACAATATAAATCAGCCTGCAGTACCTGTGGGACCCCTGCTGCTGCCGGGAAGAGGGAACTGCTTCGCCAAAAGGCTCCGGGCCCTCTGTCGCCAGCCACAACCCACAAGGGCACTAGGGCTGCAGTTGATACATTATAAGATTCTGCAAAAGGTTTTTTTTTAACAAAGGGACAAATCTTTTTAGTAAACTAAGGGTTAATGCCTTAAAAATAATTGAAAACCACTATTCTAAATAATGTCAGAATAAAATATCTAATTAGCAAAACAAATTTGTTCCAAAATGTAACAAAGTCTATGGGGCAAAAGCCCATTTAATAACAACGTGCACATGGAGTCCATTTAGCCAGACTCATAATTTCATAAACTGAGAAATGTATTGTATTGCAATATGAAGCCATGAGGCTTAGGGACAGGGGCTATCAAGCACAGCTAAGAGTTTAAAAGCTTAACAGACTTCCTCAGTGGCAAGGCAGTAAACAAAATATTTACATATCTGAATTGTATCATTCTTTGTCTAATTCCTTTGAAAATATGGAGTAAATATACATCTTGATGTAATAATTCCATCCACAAGGTCCTGCCTGAGGACAGAAGGCTGAACTCAAAGCCTACGAATCCAGGCCCCTAAGACACTAGATAATAACAGGTATATTATTTATTTTATTCAGTAAAAATGTATTCAATAAAAATTTACTGAGAGCCTATACACCAGGATGGGATACATGTGTAGCAATTCCCAGATATAAAGACTAACACAATAAGTTTATTATTAAGTACCAAAGTTTGTGGATTTCACATGCACATACATATGTGTATGTATTTAATTAAGAGAATTTATCCTTATAATTCAACATAGATATCTACCTTGTACCTACCTTATTGAAGTGGCTCGCATAGGCAGAATTTCCCAGGCCAAACACCGCATATCTCATACCCTTCAGGTAAGTTTTGCCAAATCGAAAATCATTGGATGCTTCCTCTAACCATTTGCAGAACCACTCTGCACTCTCAGTTGGTCGGCCATCAGTATATGTAGCAACCAGAAAGGCACAAACATTTTTACTAGTAACCTAACCAAGAAAGTAATTATTTCAGAAAAACATTCAAAAAGAAAAACTTCTTTTAAGTGTTGACATTATCATACTAATTTCTGAGGACAAAGGGTGCTTTCATAAACAATCTTTTTCAAAGGTGAAGGAAAACACAGCAAGGACACCTTGTACAGGGGAGAAAACCCAGTCCCTTGCCAATATACCTCCTGCTGCCCTTCATCATTTACTCCATTCCATTTCTTAGACTCTCAATTCCAATCATATCCAATTTGTCATATTGGAAACAAACTATAAGTCAGTCAGAAAAATACACTAAGATCTCTAAAAAATTATCTGAAAAATTAAAGCAATAAAACGTTTTAAACATAAACTTGGCACCATCATCTACATAGGGAAACAAAATACATGCTAGTCAAAGTATTTCATCTGCTTGAATGTCTCTTTTAACAGTTCCAAGTCATAAAGTTACAAGTAACCCCTTACAATTATTAAGTATCAAATTTGCTAATAATTTTTCACATACAATTTAGCACAGATTTGAGCTCACTCATTTGCACTACAGAGTTTTCTTGCGGGGGGCGGGGGGGGGACGACAATGGACAATTACAGTTAGAAGTTTACACACTAAGAAGGGGCTGGCAACCTATAGCCTACAGGCCCAATCCAACTTGCTACCTGTTTTTGTCAATAAAGTTTTATTGGAACCCAGCCATACTCATTCGTTTATATATTGTCTATGGCTGATTTGTGCCTCAAAGGCAGACCTGTAGCTGCATGGCCCACAAAGCTGAAGATGTTTACTATCTAGCTCTCTACAGAAAAAGTTTGTCCACCCGTGCTGTAAGTGCTTCTCTGACTCTAGCTGCTTCAGAATCGTCTTGGGCACCTGTTAACACAGTCCCCGCAGCCAGACTCTGGGTCAGCAGGACTGGGCTAGGACCTGAGAATATGCATTTCTAACACGTCCCCAGGCTGATACTGCTGGTTCAAGGGCCACATTTTGAGAACAACTACTATAAGGCAAACTTCCCTAACTGGGTAGGACTAGAGGAGAGAGAGGGGCATTTCTCAGATGAAGAAATTAAACTCTCATAGACATTAAGTAATGTAGGAAGGTACACAACTAGTAAGAGATTTCTCTAACTCTAAAGCCCATACTTCTTCTGCTACCCAAGTGGCTCCTGACCTTTCAGGAGGCTTACACATGGCTCACATGCATGGCACAGTGCCAGCAATAACAATCCTCTTTGATTATGAGATTCGAAGCAGGAGGGCATTGGGAACTTCAAACACCCAGCTCCTCCACCTTCACCCCCGCCCCAGGAGAGACTAACACACCAGAGGGACAGGCTCCACGCCACTTCAGAATCAGCACATGACACCACACATTCAACACCTCTGACTCACACCAAAAGCTCAACCAACTGAAATCTCTTAGAATGAAAATTAAATTGATTCTGAAGATTCTATTTATCTCAGAACACAGGTCAATTAAATGTGAGTTTTGACTGAGGAAAAAATAAAACAATTACCAACCTCTTCTACTAGATTATCATCTGGATCATATTCTTTCAGATTAATAACTGCCACAGGCAGATATAGGGAGGTAACAGCTTCAGCAAGAATTGTTGCAAATTCCTAATAGGGGAAAAAAAAAAAACAGTCTTCAGTAAGCTAAATAAACAAAATACTGTCTTCATTTACCCCTGTTGGCAAGGGAATGAGGCATTTCTCATGAAAAACTTTTCCAGTGATTGACATTTGTCATCAAAAACACAAATACTGCCTGGCTGGTGTGGTTCAGTGGTTGAGCATGGACCTATGAACTAGGAGGTCACAGTTCGATTCCCAGTTAGGGCACATGCCTGGGTTGTGGGCTCAATCCCCAGTGTGGGGCATGCAGGAGTCAGCCAATCAATGATCCTCTCTCATCACTGACATTTCTATCTCTCTCTTCCTTTCTCTTCCTCTCTCTGAAATCAATAAAAATATACTTTTTTAAAATCTAACCCTTTACAGAAAAAGTTTGCCAAACTCTAGCTAGTAGAATTTAAAGCTCTAGTAACAAGAGCCCTTAGACAGCAAAGTGAGTGCAGAGAGAGAAAGACAGTCTCAAGGGCTATGTACCCTGACACACTCCTATCTTTACAGGTCAAGGAGATGGGGAGAAATCAGCAAATAGTGAGGAAGACCAGCCCCAGCAAAGTAGGAGGAGAACCTAGAGAACAATGTCCTGAAAGTTGAAGGAAGAAAGCACTTTAAGAAGAAAGAAGTGGTCAAGCAGCTAATAGGTCAAGTAAGATGAAGACTGAGAATTAATTAGCAAAATGGAAATCACAGGGAGCATGTTGGGGCTTGAAAGCCTAACTGAAGTGGTTCAAGAAAAACAGGAGCAGAGAAATTGGAGATCACAAACACAACACTTCCAAGGAGCTTTACTAAAAAAAAAAAAAAAAAAAAGGTGGTAATTAGAGGGAGATGTGGGGCCAATTCTCAGAGCATCCAGTGAGAATTTACAATTATAGAAAACAAATCTGTTCACAGAGTAACAGAGACAATCCACACCAACTACCCCATCATTCTGTTCTAAATATGAACAGAAACTATGGATCACCAAAAACATGATGAGAACAAGAAGCAAGAAAGAGAAATTCCAGCAGCAGAAAAACTGAGAAAGCAGGTAACTAAAGAAACAGAAAACGGAATTCATTAAACTATATTACTAAATTATGAATAAAATATTTAAAAAATTGAACAAAATAGCATTTTTAAATTAATATATAATAGCTGACATAAAACATTCAAAAAAGATTTGGAATTAAAATCTAAGAACCCAGAATGAAAAGAAAAAGTTACAAAAAAGTATGAGAGGAAAGGCTTGAGACATAGAAGGCCATCTAAAAGCTCCAACATCCAACTAATAGCAGTTAGACCCGCAAAAACGGAAGGGGAAAAAATTTACCCAAGAAATATTAGCAGAACAAATGCAAACAAATCCTCAAAACTAAAGACCCCAAGAGTCCAGCACAATGGCTAAGAAAAGATCCAACTTAAACATCCTCTCATTTAAGATCTGATTCTAAAACAGTGGTTCTCAACCTTCTGGCCCTTTAAATACAGTTCCTCATGTTGTGACCCAACCATAAAATTATTTTTGTTGCTACTTCATAACTGTAATGTTGCTACTGTTATGAATCATAATGTAAATATCTGATATGCAGGATGGTCTTAGGCGACCCACCCCTGTGAAAGGGTCGTTTACCGCCAAAGGGGTCGCGACCCACAGGTTGAGAACCGCTGTTCTAAAAGCTTCCAGAAACAAAAAAATCAAGTCATCTTCAAAATGTCATCAGCAATGCTGCTTGCTAGAGGACAATGAAGGCATCAGCCTTCAAAGTTTTAAAGAAAAAATTTTGACACAGTCTTTCATACCCAGCCAAATATGAATCAATCAAATGTGAAAGCAGAATAAAGAAAATTGAGGTGGCACAGCTTTAAGGAGAGCCAACTAACCCATACCGACTATGATGTGGGCAACAATATTAACTGAGATTTGAGGAATGTTGTGTGAACAGACTAATATAAGGAATTAATAACTTTTATCTAAAATTGAAAAATCTAGAAACATAGCACAAGAAGGTTAAAGAAATAACCATCAGAGGAACTAAAATAGAAATAGTTAAAAGAGATTCCCTGGAGAGCACTTTTCATTATGAACTCTCTGTATGCCTGGATCTGTTACTATCTGCAAGGATCAATTTGATCTTTACAATTTTTATTTTTTAATGTTTTTTTCATTGATTTTAGAGAGGAAGGTAGAGGGAAGGAGGGAGGGAGGGATATCAAACCTGGGTATGTGCCCTGACCAAGAATCAAACTGGTGAACTTTCAGTGCAGAGGATGATGCTCAACCAATTGAGCCATACCAGCCAGAGCACTCTTAAAAATGTTTTTAAACATTCATAAGATCTTTTATGAGTAACATAAAAGGACTTTGTTTTGGTTGTTCAGATGCTTTTTTGTGTGTGTTTCAGTTTCCCACTTCTGTTGCTTAAAGCTGAACTTAACAAAAAGTGACCTTTAACTACTAGTATGATGTGAAGCAAAGTACTATACCTGCACTGGAATACTAAAAAACTAAAAAGTATTATTCTACAAAATACCCACAAGAGGTCAGTAGAACCCTCTTTGGTAGATACTATACAAAAATCACCGAAACCGATTTTTTTTTAAGCCATTTTCATGTCAGCCTTAGAATCCTTTCCTAGAAAGCACTAAAGAGCTGTGACTGGCCTTCATAACAAAGAAGCAGGCAGCATCTAGATACAATCAAAGAATGGGAAGTATCTTTCAGTACATATCTGTAGCAAATGTACTTTAAACAGTATTCCATGTCTATCATTAATACTTTTTTTAATCCTCACTCAAACAGTGAGGATATTTTTTCCATTGATTTCTAAAGAGAGTGGAAGGGAGGAGGGCTGGGGAGAGACGGAGAGAGAGAGGGAGAGGAACATCAATGTGACAGAAGCACATCAATTGGTTGCCTCCCACACGTGCCCCCACCGGAGCAGGGACTGGACCTGCAACCCAGGTACGGGCTCTGGACTGGAATTAAACCTGCAACCCTCATGTTCAGGCTGACGTTCTAACCACTGAACCACGCCGACCAGGGCAATCATTAATACTTTTAACACTTTTCAAAATCAAAATACATTTCATTAAACAAATATGTGAAATTCAGGGCCCGTACTGGACTACTGCTGCCATCCTCTTTTCACTATCTCCTCCTTCTATACCAGGGGTCCTCAAACTACGGCCCGCGGGCCACATGCAAATACAAATATTGTATTTGTTCCCGTTTTGTTTTTTTACTTCAAAATAAGATATGTGCAGTGTGCATAGGAATTTGTTCATAGTTTTTTTTTAAACTATAGTCTGGCCCTCCAACGGTCTGAGGGACAGTGAACTGGCCCCCTGTTTAAAAAGTTTGAGGACCCCTGTTCAATACCAACAGGCATCAATAATGGACTTGCAACTCTCCATTCTGCTGAGATAGAAGCAAACTTCACAACAAAACACCTCATGACAGTGACCACCAGACACCACCAATCAGCTACCTACTAACAAAACCTACCTACCATCCCAGGAAGGGAAAAATGGATGCTGGAAAGGGGGAAAAAAAGATGAAAGAAGACTGGAAGACCAATTCAGTTCACTGCTAAAGACAATTTTCAGGGATTTTTCTTAAAGATCAGGAAATTCAAGGGAAAGTGACATAAAAAGTTCTAACCTTTGCTGTACCAGTCTGGGAACCATAGAAAATCTTCACTCCAGACACAAAGACTTCCTTCTTGTGAAGAGAGCTATAACCATTTGTCATCAAATCCTGAGCTGCTTTTGGAATTGATTTCTCCTGTGAGTTCTTGTCCTTGAAGATAAACAATCACAAATCTACTTTGAATCTTTTCCCAACTCCAATAGGAATGAAAATTAGCACAGACACTGACCCATTTTATTATTCTCTTAATCTTCCTGGTTGTACTCCTCAAATGCTAACTCCTTGGTATAATTAGGTCCTTACAAGGCAGGACCCATATTTCGTTAAGACCATAATGATTCCTATTATAGTATTATATGCATGAAAGTATTATTCAAAGATAAAACTTTCATTCCTAATATTTTTTAGTGGGATAAGAGTAGAAACCTTTTTTGATCCTTAATTAGTGGAAAGAAAAGACTACTACCCCTTAAAGATGTGAACCAAATTTGGTTTTTTACAAAAGTTGAGTTTTTCATTACAAAATCTTTCTGTACCTTAAGGATGAGACATCCACAGCCCATCAAAGAAAAGGTAAATATAATTTAGTTCAAGGTAACTTAGCGTGTAAAAACAGAGAATAAACTTTTTTAGGCATTAAGAAAAATGCCTACAGATTAAACATAAAAGTGATTTAAAGTTCCTTTTAGCTTTTCTGCATTTTTCTGAATGCCTTAGAAAATCTGCACTCTAAATTCTCTATAAAATTTAATGCCTTAATACTCTCCTATAAAAAGTAATTCCACTCACCTGCTTCCTGATAACAATCTGGAAACAAATCCAAAGGCCAATACCAAAGGCAAAGCCCAAATATATGTAGTATCTGTTTATCCATAATGATATTAAAGGTGAGAAGTCCCAGGTATCCGAAGAAGGATCTAAATTTAAAATGACACACAAATGTAATTGTATTTAAAGCTACATATACAAAAAGGTCCATTCTTATTTTAAATTAAAAAAAAAAAAAACCTCCATATTCAACAAGGCTAAGAACTCTATAGAAAATCAACTCTAGTGGAAATAATACATGCCCTGGTTCATGTGGCTCACTCGGTGGGTTGGAGCGTCGCCCCCGTTCACCGAAAGGGTGGCCGTTCCCGTTCAGGGCACACACCCGGGATTCGGTTTCATCCCTGGTCCCGGCACCTGCGGAGGCAACTGATCGATATTTCTCTCTCACATCGATGTCTGTCTGTCTGTCTGTCTATCTTTCTTCCCCCCTTCCTCCCTCTAAAATAAAAGATAAATATGTAAAATAATAATACATTATGTGGCAACGTGATAAAATTATAATCCTAATACATACACACACACACACACACACACACACACACAACCTTTATTTGGATATACCATTTGGGAGCAAAAGAAGGGAACAGAGTCAAAACACTTTATGGGGAATTATGAGTTGATTTCGCGTTGTTATGCTAGCTCCATAAGAAAAGTTTCTTAAAGTACTAAAACTACTCCCTTTTTTCTCAGTTTATTTTTAAAGACCCGTGGCCCCTTGTAAGGGTTCTTAAATGTTAACTGACCTCACACTCCATTTTGAAGGGAGAAGTGGGTGGACCTGGGCTCAAATGTGAAACCTGGGATCAATTCAAAAGGCGACGCCTAAACTGTTCACAGGTGCCGCTCCGCCCTGGAGAGATCCTCAATACACGTGGGCAAGGGGAGGGGTGGCAGCTGTCTCTGCCCTTTACTAGAGGTTAGATTTTAGAAGCAAAAGGGAAAAGCCAAGTCAAAAGCAGATGATCCTCCCGTGCCCCCAGCGGTAGCCGTGCTGAAAGTGCAGCCACCTCTGCAGGGTCCCGGGAACGCCGCTCCGCCGGGACAGGGTCTCGGTACAACGGTTTCTCCCTCCCGCCTCGCGAACGCTTCCACCCGGGCCCTTACCCATCCTCCTCAGAGCCTGGGCTCTGCGGCCCGAAAGGAGACTAGGAGCGCGGACCTGGAAAACCGGGCGCCTCGTCTCGGTACCGGGGGGCCGTCAGAACCACCTCGCAGCGTTAGTCGTGTAACCTGAGAGCGCCGGACTGGGGGAAGCCATGCCACTCGCAGGCTCGTCGGGATTGGCTCAGAGGGAAGAGGCGGGCCCAGGGGAAGCACCTCCTACAGCGCGGGGCGAGGAAGCCGGAGCTTCGCTGGTCCTGCTCGGATT